AAAAGCAAAAAAGAATAAGAACAGAATTACCAGACGCGTGCAAAGAGGGTGATTTAAATAATCTGAAAAAAGAAAAAAAAACAGAAAGAAAAAAAAGAACACGAAAACAGAAAGAAAACAAAAAAAAATTCTCTGGAAAGTTTGACTTATGTACTCTCGTTTATGGCGTTAGAGAAAGATAGATTGTAATCTATACTATTTCTCCTATCGTGTTTAAGTCCGCAATAGAGTTCGAATCGGTCACTTTTCCTTCTCTCTCTTTTCCTTTCTCTCTCTCTCTCTCTCTCTCTCTCTCTCTCTCTGTGAACGTGAAACTACGCTTCCTATCTAATCCAGTCCCAGTCTCGAAATGTTTCTTTTGCTATGGTATGGTGTTCGGTCGTGAACCAACATATACGCGCGACCCATACGCAATGAGAGTAAGTGAAAGAGAAATATATAAATAGAAAGAGAAAGAGAGAGAGAGAGAGAGAGAGAGCGTGTTAAACTATCTAACATCATAGAATTTTCTGTTTGCAACTGGCCGGCGTCCGATCATTTACTTCCTGACTTGATCCGACATAGAGTTACGTGATTCCAGTTGATTGTATATGTATTTGAGGAAGGGTGGGGATTGGAGGACCTATGCACTTACATACCTACGTTCGAACCTCGAAAATAAAAAAAATCCACCTTCTGAATCGACGAACCGTGAAAGCTGGTGGTGGCCGATCGGTTGGTTGCCCTGCAAACGGTTCTCGCCCATATAGAAGTGAGTCGCCAAGGAGTCGACAGTTTCAGACTCAGGACAGACCGTTTTCTTCTGAAGAAATCTTAGAACATCGACTCGAAGGAACATTCATTGTTCATCATGAAATTCCTCGTAAGTTTTATTATTCCTTATCAATTTAATAAAAAAGAAAAAAAATGTTATTTATTATCGATGCTTTCTTTAATTTTTTTCTTTCTTTCTTTCTTTCTTTTTCTCTCTCTATATACGTATACATATATCTCCTTTTAATGCGTTCGAACAAATTACGCTTACGTTACCGATTTACTTTCTTTTCGAACGTAAAACGATCTATGGTGAAAGTACTTATCATCTAGATTCGATCGTTTATATTTTCTTCGCTCGGTCAATTAACCCTTCGCTTCGAATCATTCAGTTTCGTTCATTTCCTTGATCAAACAATATCCGGTATACTACTACATAGATGGTTACATACAATCGCCTTTCGATTTGATTATCTTTCATAGATTATTACTTTTGATTTTTTCTTTTTTTCTTTTTTTTTTCTTTGTGAATTACAGTCTAGATCTAGTCGAACGATTGGATTCTATATTATTATTATTATTATTATTATTATTATTATTATTATTATTATTATTATTATTATTATTATTATTATTATTATTATTATTATTATTATTATTATTATTATTATTATTATTATTATTATTATTATTATTATTATTATTATTATTATTATTATTATTATTATTATTATTATTATTATTATTATTATTATTATTATTATTATTATTATTATTATTATTATTATATCGGAGTGTTATGGTATTTTGTTTTTTTTCTTCTTTCTTCCTTTTTTATTTCTTTCTTTCTCTCTCTCTCTCTCTCTCTCTCTCTCTCTCTCTCTCTCTCTCTCTCTCTCTCTCTCTCTGTCTCTCTCTTTCTCTTTCTTTTACTCTCGAGAAAGATTCACAATTTATTTCGATACTTTACTTTGTAATAATTTCTACCGTATAATTAATTACTTGTTTATTTCGTTTTCCTTTTAGATAATTTTACTCGTAATATCTCCCATTTACGTCATTGGCGATGTACTCGGTGATCTGTTAGGAGAAGAATTGTATCTAGTTGGTAAGGGACATAAGGAATTTATTGATTATTGTTTGAACGGAAAGTAATGAGAATTAATAGAAATAACAATAAGCAAAAAAAAAAAAACAATAACAACAAATACAATAATAATAATTAATAATATTAATCGTCATTTAAAATGTTCAATTAATAGATAATATTCGTGCGAAGAGACAGACGCATGCACAGCAACAACAGATAAATTATAGGCCTTATTCACAAGCGCCAGCACAGATCAAACAATTATTGGCCTCTCAACAAACCCGTGATCCATTGGTACATATACCAGCTCAGCCGGCACCACAATTGTCAAACGGACCAAGACCAGAACCAGTTTATCAGAGTCAGGCTCAAGTTGCTTCTTATAAGCCAGAGATTCGATTAGGTTCGGCACCTCAGCAACCAAGTTACAAACAGATCCCAGTAGCTCCAGCTCAGTATAGACCACCGGCAGGTGCCGCTCAAGCTCAGGGTCGTCAATATACACCGCAATATCAAAGTTCTGCACCTCGGGCTAGTTATCAGCCACAGGCACAAGCACAGCCGCAATACTCGAAACAATTGCCCTCGGAACTTCGACAATTATTACAAATCCAGGCTGGATTACCTAATGCCATTCCTCACGGTCGGCAAGGTTAA